TGGTAACGATAATTCATCTTATGAAATTTAGGTTCATGTTTCTTACTTTGCGGATCAAAACTAGACAATGGTAGCTCATTCCAACTCATCTCTTTGCCTAGGTGTTTTATCTCTCCCCCTTAATGTTGAAAAAGTAATCCATCAAAACAATAATTTCGTAAACAAATTTCCCATTTGGGATTCACACCTCAACACAAATTCTCATCTCTAATGAGAATCAACTTAAGATACTGTGGTGGAGCATTTGGGAAGTATGCGGCACACCCTTATATTCTCATATGGGAAACATTAGATTTATGAACAAAATCATTTGTAAAAAGAGGGAAACTTATGATAACTTGTTGGTTAGATGCGAACCAATACTATCACTTGCCAACTAGCATGTCCTCGACAAGAGGCTGGAAGGCTCAGCTTATTCTATTAAGCAAAGTGATGTTTGATTGGATAACCATCAAAATGTATCCATAGTGAGGCAACCAATCTCGCAAACATCGGGTTGCGATTAGATAAAATACATGTGATCCATTTGATGCAGCAACCATTAAATTCACAAATGATCCACATGACTGATGTATTGTTCTGCATACACGTCCATAAAATCTCAAGAGATTTGCCAAACCTTTTACAAGCGATGATCAATTGTTCTATTTTCCTTGAGAACAAGCATGGCATAATAAATCTTGAATAATTCTTTGAATTCTCATATGATGTTCTCATGAATTCTCAAAGAATTTTTTCCACATCAAGATCCGAGATGGTCTAACCGGACCAACCAAATTATCAAGTTATCAAATCTTGTTAACTTCTGGTTTACACTTTTATGTGTACTAATAGTACTAATATACATGTAGTACATATTTGTGATGCAAATATTAGTTTTACTATTTTGTTGATAAGATATTTATTTTACGAATATCCTTTTAATTGGGTAATGCATCATCACTAGGTAGTTTGGTCCTTCAGGCCACAAAACATTAGCTCTTTTAGATTTTACCATATTTTGTACCATATTTCGCCCTTCCGGAGATTTATGATTTGATGCATTCTTAGTAAACACATATTCATAGTGAATATCATCACAAATTATTATCATGAGTATATAATTTAGTTACTTCAAGTAACCAAACATAAGCTCTTCGGAAGCTTTTTCTCATTTATGTATTGTACCATATAGTTTATATGAAATTTTTCTAACAATCATACTTTACAAAATCATACTAAAATAATAAATGAGAATATTTCAAACTTATGAAAAAATAACGAACTTATCAAGTTAATCGTTCTAGTTAAAAGTTAGCAAGTTAAATTATGCATGAAAATAATGGCACAATAAAACATAATAGAAAATAAGAATCATAATACTACAATTGTGAAAATTTAAATAAGCTTTATTTGGAATAATACCACCATTAACTAGGTGATTTTTAATTTATATATGCCTTCAACATTTATTAAAATAATGATATATGCCTTTCATTATACATTTCAATGTACAATAGGTACATTCTGTTATCATGACTTTGATGATATAATTGTTGTGTCATACTTATTTAAAATTCTTCTTTTTCTTCTCTTTTCTTACTTCCGGTGAAAATATCCGAACAATACATTTAACATATATATAATTATGTTTATAGTTCCATTCACTTCGGGGAATAGATTGTTTCATTCACTTATGGGAATGAAAATGTCTCAAGTGCAATATCATTTTCATCTTTAATGGAGAATATACCAACTTATAATAAAAAAATATGTTCCATAATATTGATATTGCATGAGCATATTTGAATTTGCTCTTCCCTTTTATTCTTCGTAGAGTAAAGTCTTTTGCGTACAACGGGTACGAGACAAACGCACTTTTCCATTAACAATGGTAACATACAAAACCAATATTCTTATTACCATGTTTTTTTTCTTTCTTTGCCCTTGAATTCTTCAATTTCCACTTCTGGGGAATATATGGGCTCTTGGAACTTACACTTTCTACATATCAATGTGGGATTGATAAGAATAGGATAACACAGAGAACTGAAAAATTAACTCATCACTTATATTACTTTTCTTGTTATTGCTATTACATGAGCAAATTTTAATTTGCGATAATGTCAAAACACCAATTTAATTCTAAGGAATCAATGTATGTATTGTAAAACACATAATAATATAAATCAAATTACACAACCCTAAATTTTTATCCAAATAGATGTACGTGATAAAATATCAATGGATGGTATACTACGAGAAAAGAGTCGCATCCATCTTAATATATTGGAACGAGATAATCTGACCACAAATAAGACAATAAGATATGAAAGAAGACGAAGATTTGAATACCTTGATCATATTGTGATCTTACTCCAATATACTAGATTGTGTAGATAGACAATGACCAACCATGACGCTAGCAGAGCTTCGTGCTGATAACGTGTTATGAAACTAATGGAAAATATAAACAACTACAAGAGAAGATTAGAGAGGGAAAGACACAAAGAAGAGACGGGAAAGTGAGCTTTCTTATTCATTCTATCTCTTTTGATACAATGATGTGCTTTATTTATATACACACATTGGTAACCACTACATCCTTATATCAATGAGAGATAATGAAACATAAAGGAGCTATCAAATGTAGGAATGAGGGTTACATGTAACTCACAAGAGAGCATCTAATGTGGTAATGACAATGGTCATCCATATATCAATATTTACAAAATAGGTACCGGTTTTTAACGATTTTTAAAAGGTTAATGTTGATTGAACTGCTAAATATCAAGCCGTTCATATTATCGGGTCATACTCCGATTCGGTTTAACAACATTAATAGAAAGTCAGCAAAGTCTTTCTATTGATTGTGGTTAATATAAACAACTACAAGAGAAGATTAGAGAGGGAAAGACACAAAGAAGAGAGAGGGAAGTGAGCTTTCTTATTCATTCTATCTCTTTTGATACAATGATGTGCTTTATTTATAGACACACATTGGTAACCACTACATCTTTATATCAATGAGAGATAATGAAACATAAAGGAGTTATCAAATGTAGGAATGGGGGTTACATGTAACTCCCAAGTGAGCATCTAATGTGGTAATGACAATGGTCATCCATATATCAATATTTACATAATAGGTACCGGTTTTTAACGGTTTTTTAACGCTGAATGTCGATTGAACTGCTAAATATCAAGCCGTTCATATAATCGGGTCATACTCCGATTCGCTTTGACAACATTAATAGAAAGTCAGCAAAGTCTTTCTATTGATTGTGGTTAATATAAACAACTACAAGAGAAGATTAGAGAGAGAAAGACACAAAGAAGAGAGGGGGAAGTGAGCTTTATTATTCATTCTATCTCTTTTGATACAATGATGTGCTTTATTTATAGACACACATTGGTAACCACTACATCCTTATATCAATGAGAGATAGTGAAATATAAAGGAGCTATCAAATGTAAGAATGGGGGTTACATGCAACTCCCAAGTGAGCATCTAATGTGATAATGACAATGGTCATTCATATATCAATATTTACATAATAGGTACCGATTTTTTAACGATTTTTAAACGGTTAATGTCGATTGAACTGTTAAATATCAAGCCGTTCATATTATCGGGTCATACTCTGATTCACTTTGACAACATTAATAGAAAGTCAGCAAAGTCTTTCTATTGATTGTGGTTAATATTATCCCCGTAGTAGATTGCCGACCTCAAAGTCTCATTTTCCACATTTTATAATGCAATTAATAACCACTTTCTGCCAAAGGTAACACAGCCGAGTTGGTCGGGAGTGTGGTCTTTCGGGCTTGAGAAGTGTGAGGTTTCAGGTTCGAACCCCGCTACACCACTTGGTGTTTCCGGAGGCACCGCGAGTGCTGGAGAAGAAGTCTCCTCCTAGTATCGGATGCTAGGCCTTGAAATGTTGCTAATGCAGGTACTCCCCAGGTTTAGTAGACAACGCTGCCACAAAGTGGCATGTGGGGTTGAGGTCAATTGAGGTCAAATATTTTAAAGAAGAAGATGATTTTGTGCACGGTACATACATGGCCTTTTATTAGAATATATATAGACGTATGAAAAAATATTAAATTACACATTTGGTTATTCAAATTATATAAAATTTTCACATTTGTCATTCGAATTATTTTTACACAAAATTCTAGCTTTACGGGATGAAGATGGTATACAACGCTGCCACAAACAAAGTGACATATGTGCTTGAGGTTCCTGGATAATAAAAAAAAAACACTTTCTTGCTTTGCAACACAGGTGTGCAACTTTTGCTCCCGATATCTAAAGCTCTTCTTTAGACCCGCCTATTACCATGCTTTTAGAATCCCGATGATGATCAGGTGCTCAGGTCAAATATTTTAAAGAAGAAGATGATTTTGTGCACGGAACATACATGGCCTTTTAATAGAATGTATATAGACGTATGGAAAAAAAATTAAATTACACATTTGGTCATTCAAATTATATAAAATTTTCACATTTGTCATTAAAATTTTGTGTAGTCATTCGAATTATTTTTATACAAAATTCTAGCTCTACGGGATGAAGATGGTCAATGGGTGCAAGATGAGGAGAAACTTAAAGGCATGGCGGTAGGGTTTTTTTGAGAGCTCTATCGGGTGGAACTCGAGCCAACTCTTCGGCTCCCGAGTAGGTTTCTGAGTATGGAGGCAACCACGGCTAGAACGTTGGATTTCGTCATGTTGTAACTTTTAAAGTTTTTGGCGGAAATTCCTTGAGAAGTGTTTAGATAAAACAATCGAATGTTTAACGAAAATTAATTAATAATACATTCTAATATACAAAATGGGAAAAAAATCCAAATATAAAATATAAAAAAACCAAAAAAATATTTCCTAATTAAATACTTTACCAAAATTTGTTCTCCACCACGCGTGCCAAATGTTCATATCTATTTGACTGAACCACCAATCACAATATATTTCGCCCAACCTTTATATATAGAGTCAAAAGAAATTGCGTTACATAGGAAGAAGCGAGAAAAATACTTTCTCCGGTTCCTTTTTCTTTCACCTTTAATCAGAAGAATCATCCCCTCTTTCCATAGATTAGGAATCTAGTCGAGTAATTAAGTGCATAAAGAAGCCGAATGATTTTGACTCTACAATAACCCAAAAGTTGCTCCATGGCTCTAATTGCTCGATCGGATCAAGGAATGGGAAAAAATCCACACAAGAGCAAGAGCAGATAAGCGGGAAAGAAGACAGCTAGGGGGAGCAATTACCACAAAGAAAAGAAGCAAACTTAGTGGGCATTATTTGATGGGCTGTGTCTGCTTTTCCTTTTAGTGGGAAAAAGAAATGTCAAGCCTCAGTTTTATTGTTACCAAATTTGCTGATGCAGTGCCATCCATTTTCCTCCAATATGGCTATCTACTCGACCTCACTATTGCCTTCCCCAACAAAGCTACAAACCGGTAACACCTTTCGTGCCTGATAGTGAAAAAATGTGTGGATCACCATTCACTTTTGCCTCCCCATGAATTCAACAAATCCATCATCTTTTCTATCCATCACTTCTCTATATTAACCCCCTCTTCCCTTCAGCTCTTTTTGGTACCAAGTGCAAATGGAGTGCCAGAAGATTGCAGTGGTGGAGGTGGAGAGCCAAACCCATCTTGCTCAACCTCATCAGGATCCCAAACCCAAAGGCACAACCTTCCTCAGAACTTGTTTCAATGGACTCAATGCCTTGTCAGGTTTTCCACTCTTATAACTCCCTACCGGTTGCTGTAACTTGAAAACAGATTATTTGTCGCGTCGATTGCAAGTCATGGTGACTCCCGACCCATGGTGTATTGTCAGTTTTCGGTTTGGTTTGCAACCTTTTTATTTTTCAGGTTGGATTAGGTTAGCCCGTCTGAACAAGAGACTATATATGTATTCTCTATCGTTGTAATCTACATCTACTCAAGTATAGTGAAAACTTGCTCTCTCGCCTGAACGTAGACTATGTAACACATGTTGTATTAGCAAACAACGTAACTCTGTGCGTGCTTTACTTTCTTGCAATTGTCGATTTTCATTTCCGTTCTGACGTTTAATAAATTTCAGGGGTTGGGATACTGTCAATCCCATTTGCACTGTCCCAAGGAGGGTGGCTCAGCCTGGCACTGCTTCTCCTCGTGGCAGTCCTCTGCTTCTACACAGGCCTGCTCCTGAAGCGCTGTATGGACTCCGATCTGCACATCAGGACCTATCCCGACATCGGTGAGCGAGCATTCGGGTACAAAGGAAGGGCACTGGTCTCCATCTTCCTATACTTAGAACTATACTTAGTGGCAGTTGAGTTCCTGATACTGGAAGGCGACAACTTGGACAAATTGTTCCCTCACACAGCTTTCAGGATAGGCAGCCTGGAAATCGGAGGGAAAGAAGCCTTCATTCTGCTCTCTGGTCTTGTGATTCTCCCAACAACTTGGCTGAAAAGCCTAGGGGTTTTGGCCTATGTGTCCGTTGGTGGTGTCTTGGCCTCGATTGTTTTGGCTGTGTGCGTTTTCTGGGTTGGAGCAGTTGATGGAGTTGGGTTCCATGAAAATGGCAGAATCCTGAGGCTGGAAGGATTGCCCACCGCTATCAGTTTGTTCACTTTCTGTTACTGTGGGCATGCTGTTTTCCCCACCTTGTGCAATTCCATGAAAGACAGGACTCAGTTCTCTAAGGTAATCAATACTTAATAATTTCGCATTTCGGATTAAGAAATTTCGTAATTGCTTATCGTGACACTATGTACGTTTTTTTCTCTTCTGTCAGGTATTGCTCGTCTGTTTCGTAGTGAGCACTTTGTCGTACGGGTCGATGGCAGTCATGGGATACCTGATGTACGGAGAGCATTTGAAGTCGCAGGTGACGTTAAACCTTCCCATCGCGAAAATTAGTTCGCAAGTTGCGATTTACACGACACTGGTGAACCCCGTGGCCAAATACGCTGTGATTATAGGTCCGGTCGCGACTGCCGTGGAGGAGAAGTTCGTGTTCCAGAACAGCAGGCCGCTGTGCATCCTAGTGAGGACCGTAATTCTGATTAGTACAGTGATTGTGGCACTGACGGTGCCGTTTTTTGGGTATGTGATGGCGTTTATTGGGTCGTCGTTGAGCGTGATTGCGTCGTTGATTTTGCCGTGTTTATGCTACGTAAGGATTAACAAGTCGGCTAGGAAAGTTGGGTTGGAGCTGATGTTAATTGTTGGGATTTTGGTCGTTGCGACTGTTGTTGGGATTGTGGGGACTTACACATCGGTGAAACAGATTGTGAAGCAGCTATGAGAACAAAATAAAATAAACAAATGTGAGGAGACAATCCTACGAACGTGACAATAATTAATTTTTGTCAGCGATTTTTACATATTAATTGGATAGTCGGTATAGTTCAGTAGAAACACAAGTGATTGCATGTTGCTCTTTTGTTCTTATATAGATTTGGTTTTGCTTAAAGAAAAAGTGATCTCTATTAAATAGAAACGTTATCAGTGCAGCAGTAGCATTATCGATGGAGTAATAGCATTATCAGTGCATTGATAATACTACAACAAGAGTGATAACATTGTCAATAGATGAAAAAAATTGCCACTCGACCTGAACATAAAAAGATCAGATATGAAAATAAATAAATTACAGATTTGGAAAAGCGAAGAGGAGGGGAGGAAGAGTAGTGGCAGAGGGACGTGTAGGCGAGCAAAGGAGGCGACGACGGCGTCAGTGGAGAAGGTTGGCGGCGGGAGAGAGAGGAGGGTGGTTGGCGGGAGAGAGGAGGTGATGGTGGTGGTGGCGACGGCAGGAGGAGGCCAACGAGAGAGGAGTGGATGGGTGTGGTGTTAGTGGCGGCGAAAACCGGTGGAGGGCAGGTTGGAAAGGAGGAGAGGATGATGAAGTAGGAATGGGCATTGGTTCAGTCGAAATCGAACCTAAATGGAGCATACCGGGTCCTTGATTCACAGCACCCTCAAACCTATTTCGAACAGAAATGTATATGGTTCGGAATTGATATTCAGACCCAACTCGAATTTGCACCATTGGCTTATCCCTTCCATTCGCCTTCAGATATGACGACCTTGAAGTAAAATACTCGAGCCCAATATCTCTCTACGCCTCCGGCTCTGGCCAATCTATGCTCGCTCCGCCTAAACAGTTGAACGACAAAGGGGAGATACGTCATTTCTGCAAATGGATTGGTGAATTGTATTGGTAGATTCATGAATCAATTTGATTGGTGGATTCATGGATTGGATCATATGGATTGATCCATGAATCCAAATACCTCCAAGCCTTGGACCAATATGTAAATTTTAAAAAATCTAGGTACTAAAGTGCCATAATGAAAAAATTCTGGTGCCACAACTTAATTTTCCAATGACATTTTTCTTATAAAAAATGAAATTTAAGTACCAAATGTTAAATAATAGAAGCATAGGTATTAAATCATAATTTGCCATTTGGATTCATGGATCAATCCATGAATCCACCAATTCAATTGGATTATTTGGATTAAATGGATTGGATTTTATTAGTTGGATATTTAACTAGATAAATCGTATTAAGTTGGTGGATTGAATCACAAATTGCCACATCTACCCCTAGCTGTGTAGCTGCCATCCACGCACAAAAGTATTTGCTTATTGAAATTACCAATCCCAACCTTTTCCTTGGATTCCCCAATTTCGTAGGACTGAAAATTGGCACGACCCACCTCTGACCCTGTCCTGACCCACCCCTGAAAGGTTAAGATGTATAACTGACCCGTCTCGACACTATTTCTTTTATGACCTTGTCTGATCCTTTAGGGAGGGGGCGGGTCGGGTCAGTGGGTCGACCCTAATAAATACATTTTTTTTAAATTACAATTTGGTACCCAAATTTATTTTTTACTTACATTTTAGTACCTAAAATTTATTTTATTTTTACAAATAAGTCCCAATAATTTGATGGTAAAATTACGTTTGGTACCCAAATTTTTTTACTTTTACAATAATGTACCTAACCTTTTAAAATTTTACAAATAGGTCCAACGTGTTTGTATGATGCTAAGGGTTATAGGTCAAAAAGTGACCCGACCCTACCTGATCCTGACCCGATGCTAAGATGACCAACCATAAACATACATGTAGATAAACTGACCGAGCCCAACCATGAGAGTCGGGGCAGGTCAATGAGTTTTAATGGTCAAACTTACACCTATGCAATTTCATACTCCACCTATAAATTGTCTTCCGGCCGCCAGTGTTCCTTCTCGTGCTGCCGCCCTTCCCTATGCCTCAACGCCGCTGGTGATCAATGTGGTCCTCTTATCTTATCGTAGCTTGCCGGAACTATCGGAATGGATCCCCCTCCTTTGATTCATGGTTGTCTTCCAACGTAAATCCTTAACAATTTATCGATCTACCTCGTGCATCTCCAGGAATGGCTGTCTAAACCCCGCTGCCAGCGTAGTCCTCGAACCTCGATGACCCAGTCCCCGACCCTTTAATCTTCCTTCCGCCCCACAAAGCGTCCATTTACAGGTTGCCATCGTTGCTATGCTGCGCCGCTCTCTATCTCTCTCCCTGTTTCATTTTTGATACTGCGCCGCATGTAGTGATGGCAATGGGGCGGGACGGGGTGGGTACCTCAATTCTCATGCCCCGCCCCATACTATTACGGGTCGGGGCGGGTAAAACCCGCGCGGGTACGGGGCGGGGCGGGTGGATCCGCTCTTACATGTTGTTCAAAAAAATACAAGTAAATTTTACTTTTTACAATAAAACGTAGGGAAAAACACTTTAAGAATGAAAAATATTGATAATAGAATGGATAATTGAGCCTAACAAGTCGAAAGATCGACTCTAACTAGTTGAAGAAAAGTCAAATAGAAGAATATGTATAGATATTGTAAGAAATTGAGATAAAATGAGTCTAGAACGGGACGGGGCGGGGCAGGGCGGGTCGGAAGTAGATACCCATGCCCCGCCCCACGCTACTGCGGGTCGGGTAATACCCGCCCCATCGCGGGTCAGGTCGGGTAATACCTGCGGGGCGGGTTGAAATTGCCATCACTAGCCGCATGGGGTTCATCGCTAGCGGCGGATGACATAACCACTTCTTATATACATGTGAATTTGTGTTTATCAAATCCTTTTAATCTACCCTAGCTATCTCGCCGGAAACTCCCATGTAACGCTTGTCAAGTTGTCATCATCAAACCTTGCCTTGTTTTCCGTCGACCCAAAGATGTCACGGAACCCAATATTCTGCTGCCATCATAGGGACCTATAGGGGTGGCTATATGGTCCGGTCCGATTAAATTGGCCCAAATTGATCTGGTCCAGTCCGGTCTTTTCGAAAATATAAGGACCAAAGATTGGATTACTCGGTCTTATCCGGTCTGGTCTTGACTCGGTCCGATCCCAATTCGGTCTTGATTTTATATTGAGCTTGTGGGGATTTGAGTAGGGCCTGAAAGTGTGAGGAGTTGGTTAAGTTTTGTACTAAGTGCAAATGTTTGTGACCGTTTATGCAGATTACCCTTAAGTTTTGGTAGTTGATCTCTCTTATCCGGTCTTTATCCAGTTTTTTATCCGGTCCCGAACGGTTTTTTTACCTCAAATCTAAGCCCAAAGATTGGATTGAATTGTTTACTATCCGGTCCCGGTCCGATCTCGGTCCGTGTTATACGGTCCGGTTTCGGGTAAAACCAAAAAACCCGGACCAAATAGTCAGCCCTACTAAGTTGGCCCAAGTCACAAGGTTTGTCCAACTTAATTAAGCTGACTTTTCGTACCTAATCGTCGACCCATGAATACGATCGATTTAGTATGGACCTCGTTAACGTATTTATAAAAAATTTAGGTCGCGTCAATTATTTAAGCCTTGGCTCTTAAACTTATTTGGTTTGATCATTTCGTACGTAACCGTCGATCTAATCATTCATTTGTTTTAGTCAAACCTGAACCCAAATGTCGGTGTGTAACATGCGCAATGGAGGAGACTCTTAGAACTGCATGAAGAAATTTACCAGGAGCTAACCTTGGAGTTCTACATCACCTTCTGGCAAACCCAAAAGAAGCTAGGATACGGTGAGGGTGCAGTGACTTTCCAGCTCGACGGTCGACACCACAACCTATCATACAACGAGTTTGCCGCAGCCATGGGCTTGGATCCATTCGCATGTTTGTCGTCGAGCCTACCCTCCCACTAGAGGACTTCCAGGGCTTCTACAGGTAAATATGTTTGCGCCAGTTATGGACGTTCCTCCAGGCCCTGCTTACACACTCGGCAGTCCCTATAATGAACACCTCTAGTCGGGTGACAAAGAGGCAGATGTTCTCGTTGCTCACCATGTCCCATACCCGGGGGCAAAATATGTTACACCCCACTCTTGCCAAAAGTCAAAATGACTACTATACGTTTGAGGAAATTTGTCAAATTCCATCGTAATATCGATGAGTACTAAGAATGTGGACTCTCGCTTAAACAGTGTCGCGTTTCGACATAAAACGAGAAAGTTACGGACGTAGACTGAGTTTCGGATTAAACTTACCCCTAATTGATAAATTCCCAATATACTCCTTAGACCTAATTAAACCCTAAGCTAAACCCCAGATCGGATGAAGGAGTATATAATGGAGCAAATGACCAGACTTCCCTGATTGTTCTTCCGGCCGCTCATATTCCCCTCTAGGTCACGAATCCATGTTCCTCATATTCAAAACCGAAAACTAGTGCAATATAGGGAGAGCGCTACAAGGGTAATGGCCGGCGATGCCATTTCGACAATGGGAAGGTGATGGAGAGTTTGAAGTGGACAAGGAGCCGCTCCCAACAACGGATAACGTTCCTTTATACATCGGTGGTGCGCAAATCAAGTCAACAGCCTAATGCGCTCGACAAATGACGAAGGATGCCGAGAAAATGAATGAGGGAGATACAAATACAATGTCGTGGTTCAGGTGTAGCATGAGAAGTCCCCGGGTATGTGATCGATGAAGGTTAGTGTTGAGGCTATCTACTTGTCTTTATTGGGTGAAGGAGTAATTTCAATGTTCAGGGCGTTAGGTTACACATTCTCAAGCGGTGGAATAAGAAGTCATGAAAAGGAGTATCATTTACCAACGCGAGGGAATGAGCACTATGCTATATAGTATTGGTGCTTTAATGTACAACTTGAAGTTGTACCATAATATTAAATGTACAAGTTTAGATGGTACCATAAAGAAATTTGTATCATTATGTTATGGTACAACTTTACAACTTGAAATTGTACCATCACATAAGGTACAAGTTTAAGTTGTACCATAAAAGAATTTGTACAAAAAGTATAGGTACAATATGAAGTTGTACCATAACATTAAAGGTACAATTTCAAGTTGTACCATAAAGGTAAAAACCTATAGCATCAATGCTATATAGCATTGTAAAATTCCTCCGAGGGAATTTATATAGGTAAAAGCAAGAGCTTGATTTGCTTCAGTTATATGTGATGGTGTAGATGCTAAAT